GCATGTTTTTCTCTGCTTTTTGAGTAGACTAAGATATTATCGATAAACACGATGACAAATTAATCCAAAAACTCTCTGAAGACCCTGTTCATCAGATCCATAAAGATTGCTGGGGCATTGATTAGCCCGAATGGCATGACCAGGAACTCATAGTGTCCGTACCTGGTTCGGAAGGCTATCTTGGGGATGTCTTCTGTTCTTATCTTCACCTGGTGGTAACCTGATCATAGGTCTATTTTAGAGAAGACTTGTGCACCCTGCAGCTGATCAAAGAGGTCATCAATCCGGGAAAGAGAATATTTGTTTTTGATCGTGACCTTGTTCAATCCTCTGTAATCAATGCACAGTCTCAATGTTCCATCTCCCTTCCTTACAAACGTGACTCCGGCACCCCAAGGGGACACACTGTGTCTAATAAAACTACTGTTTTGAAATTCAGTGATCTGTTTCCTCAACTCTTCCCTCTCAATGCGGCTCATGCGGTAAGGAGCAACCGAAATGGGCTGGGTACCTGGCTGTAGGTCTATAGTGAACTCGATTTCTCTGTCCACTGGCAGACCGGGCAGTTCGTCCGGAAATACATATGGGAAGTCTCGGACTACAGAAATCTCTTGAATATAAATTTCCTTATTGGGCTTGCCTAGTCAGAGAAAACAACAAGATTAAGGCACTAGAAGTTAAGAAAATTAGCCATCAAGGAATACGTACCGAATAATTTTATTAATTTATAAATGGCTCCTCGTTAGGAGGATTAAATACAACTTTCTTGTTGAAGCAATCTATGGTGGCGTGATACGCCGCTAGCCAATCCATTCCTAAGATTACATCAAAATCCCCCGTGTCTAACCCTATCAGGTCTACACTCAGTTTTTTATTTGCTATCTCCACGGCACAAGCCCTATAGATAGCTTCCCCTAGTAGTGTTTCAACCCCAGCAGTAGACACAAACAACAGTGATTCAAGTTTATCAGGTGATACATTAATTTTAGAAGCAAAAGCATGTGAAACAAAAGAGTGTGATGCACCAGTGTCAAATAAAACATGAGCAATATGGTCACAGATAGTATACATACCCTGTACCACATCCGGGTCGACGTCGGCATCCTGCTGGGTAAGGTTGTAAGCTCTGCCTTAGATATGAGGCCTCCCTTGATTCTGGTTCCTTGGGCATTCTCTGGCATAATGCTGGGCACTGCCACAAATCCAACAAGTGTTGTTGAGGCGGTAGTAGGGTCGGTCCCCGTGATCTCTGCCACAGTGTTGAAAGATTTTCCCACGTGCTGCCCCTGGAGCCTGAGGAGGGGCCTGGATGGCTGGTCTGGGCCTCTTATTTTGCTGGGCAGGCGCGGTAGGTGCTGGCCTGCGGAACGGAGCTGAGGGTCGGGAACTCCCTCCTGGCTGAGGACAGGTGCTGAAGCTTCTTTCCACGATCTGTGCTTTTGCTAGGACTGCTGAATATGTCTTGAGCTCCAGTACTAACAAGTGTTGCCTGATCTCTGGGCGGAGACCCGACTGGAATCTCCTAGCCTTTCGGCCCTCATCCGTCAATGTCTCCGGGGAGTATCGGCCCAGCTCGAGGAACTTACAAGCATACTCTGATACTGTCATGTTTCCCTGAACCAGTTGAACAAATTCTGCTTCCTTTAGGTGTTGGAGGTGCTCAGGGAGATAATCCGCATAGAAGGCCGCTAGGAATTGCTCCCAAGTGACTGGTGTAGGCAGGGTGGTCTGCTTGAGCTCCCACCAATGTCCTGCTTCCCCTACCAGCATGAAGGAAGCAAGGGCAGCTCTCTGCTCAGGAACTACTCCTAAGATCCTGAAAGCTCTCTCAGTCTCCGCCAGCCAGTACTGGGCCTCTTCAAAAGAGGATCCCCCTGCAAAGGTAGAATGGTTCAGTCTCCTGTACCTCTCTATATAGCCCGGGTCGATCAAGGAAGGAGCAGGGTCCCGTGGAGGAGGGACTGGGCCCGACTGGGGATAGACTGGGGAGTCCTGTGGTGGCACCTGCTGATATGCTGGGGGCACTGGGTCGTGCTGTGGCGGTGCCGAGTAGTACCGTGGCTGGGGCACCGGGTTGTACTGCGGCAGTGGTGCCGGGTGGTACTGTGGAGGAACAGGCTCGTGCCGGGGTGGCTCGGGATCAACCTGCTGTAGCGGAGGCTCAACCTGCGGTAGTGGAGGAGGGTCGGGTAACTCCCTTCTCTCCCCTCGCCCTTGCTAGGCAGCTATGAATCTTCCATCATTTCAAATAGCCTGTTAACATCCTCCCGAAGTGAATTATCTTGGGCCACTCGGTTTAGTAGGGGTCTTCCTCTCCTCATCTCTCTGCACCTGCATTTCATAAGAAATGGTTGAGTAACGGTTTATCGGTGAATTTTTTTCTAAGCATTATTGTGTAAGGGATGGGTCCGAGGAACGCGGCTCTGATACCAACTGTAATGGCCCCGAAAATTTAAATGAAATATATGTATTAAAAATGTCAAATGTGGAAACGTAATAAAAATTTTGATTAGCATCCCTTACACAATAACTAAAACGAACTCAAAACATGAAAGAACAAACTAACTAAAAGAGATACTCGAAATAAGAACTATAAATATAGCTATGGAGTCTTTAGGCGTCCCCTTCGCCGTCTTCCTGCGGAACGGGCTCGGGAACAATGTCTTCCTGATCTGAAATAGTTAAATAAGGAATGAGCTACACTAATCATACAAAACATGTAAACCAGTAATTGACACCAAATAAGACAATACAGTACCGGGTTCACCATAATACAAATCATAATAAAAGAAACATAGTTCATGCATACGAGACCATAACATAATTACATCAAACATCATGTTGCATTTAATACTGAAAATTAGATCAAACAATAACAGACCAACACTGTATCAGACTCGGGCTCCATTGGCAACCTTAATCAATTATACATCTATAAAGTCACACAGTACAGTTTAATTATTTATTTAGCTTTAATACCGTGATAGGAAATAGGGTGAGGGGTCCTTACCTGTTTTGGAGTCTGAATTCGACTCTACAGCGCGCCTACAGGCTGTCCCTAATTTTTCCTGAATTTTTTATGGGAAACTGAAACGCACTACTGGTACCTGCACGTGTCCCAAAAAAAATCCCAAATTAGACCTAGGGCCCCTTTCGGCCAATATCGCAATTTCAGCACAGCGGCTCTGCCGTGCTCCGGCACAAGCGGCGGCGATTCGCCTCGAGTTGGCCGTTTTCGACCGAATTCGGCCACGCTTGCCTCGGTCCCTGATATAGAACAACCCTAGGGCCCTCGGTGGGTTGAAAAATCACGAAAAACCGAAACTTACCGGCGGCGGTGCTCTCGGGTGCGGCGGCTCCTCCAGTGTGAGTCGCGTTTTAATGTTTGGCTCTGATCAACCTGTAGAGAAAAGAACGGTGATCACAGTGGTATAAAATTTGCATCAAACGGAGGCCGGGAAGGGCCTCATCGGAGGCAAAAACTGAGGAGGGGCGCAGCAGCGCCGCTGGGTTTCGGCTGGGTTTTCCGGCTGTTTGGTCGGTGGTTTGGCTCCAGTTTGGCCATAGGCGGACTCAGCATCGAAAAACGAGCAGGGAGGAGAAAATTTATCTCGATCGGCGGTCGGAAACTTCCCCGGTGCGGCGGCGGGTGGCGGCGGCCGGCTCCTCCGGCGTCTGGTTCTTCTTCTCCGGCGAGCACTAACTGCTAGGGTTTCTTTGGTCAGGTGTGAGTGGGTTTATTTATACCCTTTGCCTTTTAATCTCAACCGTCCATCAAGATTAAATCTGAACCGTTCGATCGCGATTTAATTGGGATTAAATCTGGACCGTTCATCGCGATGCAATCTAGGCCGTCCGTGCCTGATTGAATCTGGGTCGTCCGTGCGCGTGAATCTGGGCCATCCGTGCGCACGTTTGATCTGGGCCGTTCGTGTGTGCGGGATCGGATCTGGGCCGTCCCCTGGTCAGCGTTTCCTTGCCACGCGGCGCTTCCTGGTTGGCCGGGGCTGTTGACCGGGCCGCTGACGTGGCTGTGACGTGGTGCTGACGTGGCACAACTTTTTTAAATTGTGTTTTTACCCCCAATTTCTGATTTTCTTTTCAAAAATACCCAAGAATCCAAATTTTCACCCATTTTTTCCAAAATCAATTTCAATTAAATCAAAATAATATTTTTACCCAATTTTGTCATTATTATTATTTTTATTTTCATTAAATTAAATCAAATTAAATTAAATTAAATAAAAAATCAAATAAAATTCTAATAATTACAAAATAAAACAAGTAAAATAAATTGAAAAAATAATAATAATAATAATACACTTGGGGTGTTACAAGTAAACTTCCTCTTAAATTAATAGTCTTGATTTTATTTTGTAAGATTTTGATAAATTCAGATAATAATTTTAATTAATCAAGTTAATGTTGATAAAAATATTAGGAAATAAAATATTGAAAATAATAAATTACAGGTTCGGGGACCCAAACGATTGAAATTATAAGATTGGGGGCCTGCTGCGAATTAAAATGGGACTCGGACACCTAAATAAAAACAAATTACCGAATTTGGAATTTTCTATAAATTCAGAAGGTCGGGACACGTCAGCGAGTGACGTGTCCCGCGTATCTAATCGATGCAAGCCGCGTGGTGAGCACACAAGCAAGTCGTGCCCATGAAAGCCACGCAAGCTAAGGTAAAGTAATCAAATCGGAAGGTCCAGATCGCGCAATGGAGATCCAACGGAAGATATCTCATCGCCGCAACGACGGTCGAGATATCATCCCGCCTAAATGGACGGTCCAGCTTTGTTCTTCCTAAAATTGAACGAACGGTCCAGATCTCTTCCGGTCTAAATCAAACGAACGATCAAGATTTGCAATGACGAACATGACCCTCTTGAATCCAACGGTTCGACTTCGTTAGGAAATAGATCGAACGGTCAACACGTAACGTATTTAAGAAAACCCTAATTGGGTTTCCTATGAGTTTCGAGGGTGGCGCCAAGAGAGTGAGGAGAGGAGGAACCCAACCGAGAGAGAGAGGTAAGAGAGGCGGTGGTCGTGCGGGAGAGAGAAGGCATGCGGCCGGGTGCAGTCGGCCGCGTGGAAGAAGAAGAAGAAGAAGTTGTCGCGGGGGTGGAGGAGAGCCATCGAGACGCCGGGATTCCGCGCGCGTGGGGCGGACACCGCCTGCGTGAAGGGAGATCTTCTTCTTCCTTTCAAGCGGACGAGCCGGCGGAGGAGAGGGAGTGCGAGAGAAGGGACGCCGGAAGAAAGTTTTTTTCGCGCGCGTGAAGCAGAACCGGAGCCCGACCGAATCGATAGAGGTTTTACTCTTTCCATTGCACCTCCATTCACCTCCGGCCGATTTCTAATCGGTAGTGCCGGCATGCAGGGTCTCTCAGGAGAAGAATCGCTCACCTGGACTTGGTGAGCTGAGAGGAAGTTCATCGGGTCCCGGGACCCGACTCTAGTGAAGAAAAATCCACGGGAAATCACTGTAAGTATGCTGGTTCCTGAACCCGTGGCGTTCACTTGGCATTTATCTAAAATAACTAACATTGTGTGTTTGGAAGTGGAAGAAAGTGCAATATGACTGAAAAGGGGATACTGGACTAGATAGGGTCTCGGTTGCTGCATTCAAATCCTTTTTGGCATGAGATTAATTTTTGTCTGCATGATGTTGCCATATTTGCGTGCTTTACATTTTCTTACATATGAACCGATTTGCTTGCGTCTTTGTCTTTGATTTCATAATGAACGGATAGGGAATAATTTGATGACCATGAAAATTGAATTAAACCTTGGATGGGTAAGCAAATGGATGAGCTAATGAGGATAAATAAGAATTAAAAGGTCGGGATACATTAAAACTGACATGATAAATATAGGAAGTGAATGGGGATGAGTTAGACTTGAGGAGGTGGTGAAAATATATACGATTTCAACTAAATGATCATCTATCATTTTTTTTATATTAGACAATCAGTTTAGATTTTTATCAGAATCAGTTTACATACATTTACAGATGCCCTCGTCTAAAATATCCACCTAATGAAGGAAGATTCCAATCTCTACCACCATCATCTCTAGGAAAGCATGATTTCATAATTTCTTCATTACTGTATTTGTAAATGCAAGGGAAACTCCCCTTGCCCTTCCACAATGTAGAAGACAATCATCATAAGTCTTGGTTGATGCTTGTCCTGATGTTGAATTCAAAAGTTCTGATATCTCCTGCCATTTACAAAGAAAATCCGAAACCTCACTATCTCTAACAATTGAATGTTGGAAACTTATTTTATAATAACTATATAAATCTCTAATATTTGAATGTTGAGACTTATTTTAGAATAACCATGTGAATCAGAAAATGTAATCCAATAGGTTGGTTGTTCATATGTTTCATTGGAAGGTAGTATGACAAAAACTTAAGAACATAAAGAAGAAAGGAGTGGCACTAGTAGCAAAATAACAAACAATATTTCATCAAAAACTGCCATGTTGTATATGGCCTTTAGTTCCTGAATCAAGTGGTGAATTCCCACAGCCACCAAAATTTTTAATGCCAAAAGAACAAGTCAGAAACAGGTCAGCAGAACTAAGTATGACTTAGAAGATTATTTAGCACCTACCTTCCAATTTCCCCCCTCTTTCATTGTGAAAAAGAATATGAGAAAAAAGAAAAAGACACCCTGAACATGACAACACAAAGAACTGTCTTGAAGAAACTAAAGATGAGAAGCACCACAACAGAGTTGAAAAAACTTGAAAAGAGATACCTAATTTCCAGTTAGGTTCTCAAATCATGACTAAATTTTTAACCAAAATTTCTTTATTCAACACAGCAAACTTATGCAAGCTGAAATATTTTGCATTTTGAGCATTTTCAATTCATGAAGACAACTTATTTCTTTTGCTTTTTCTCATTCTTTTTTACAATGAAGGAACATACCTTTTAGAAGTAATTTACTAGATTCTTGAAGTTTCTCGTGCACTTGTGTTGCCTTCTAAGATTTGGTAGACTTCCATAAGTAGTTTAAAATATTATTGGTTGCGAAAACATCAGTTTCAATTTGCAAGATTCTTGCAAATAAAGCATAATTTCATTGCAGATTTATTTTGAAGAAAGCCATCAACAGGACAACTGAGTTCATATACAGATAATTTTAACAAACTCTACTGCTTTAAGTACTTGTAGTAATAGCAGAAAATATTAATATTCCAAATCAAGAAACCATAAACAAGAAAGTTCATACATCTTCGTTTCCTCCATTGAACTAACAGTTTTTATGGAAACGAATTAACTTTTAATTAAAGACTAAGCAAAAAGGAATTTAATTACCTTCAAAGATTGAGGAGGAATTGCATTTGTTTGAACATTAGCAATGCATGTAAATGACTTTTGAAGCATTGGCAGAGCTCCCATGGAGGCAGCCATGGTTTCCACCTCCCGCTGCTTGGTGGATACCACCTTCTCTGTTGAAGATGTTCCCATTATCGGTGTTCTCGGAAGAAACAATAATCGAGTTTTCCAACTGAAAGTTTGTAGAATCTTTTTCTCTCTCTGTTTGGTTATCGGGAAAATGGATGAGTAGATTAAAATTCACCGTTTTTCTCAGTATGTATACTTAAACTAGCTGTTTTAATTTTTAATTTCAAGATTTAATTATCTAAATTAAAATATAAAGATTAATTTTGAATTTGTGAAAATTTTAATATTTAATGCATTTAAAAAAAGATTGCTAACATTATTTCAAAAAAAAAAAAGATTGCTAACCTGGTTGATGCTTATATGGGAAGTTTTAAGTATATATAATGAGGAAAACGGTGAGTTTTAATATTGTTATACTTGATTAAAACGGTATCAATTCAATCTTCCCATCCACTTTCCCGATAACCAAACTGAGAGAGAAAAAGATTCTATCAAAATTTCAGTTGGAAAACATTATTGTTTCTTCTGAGAACACCAATACTGGGAACATCTTCTTCCACAGTGAAGGCGGTACCCGCCAACCAGCGGGAGGTGGAAACCATGGCTGCCTCCACGGGAGCACTGCCTATGCTTCGAAAGTCATTTTCATGCCTTGCTGATGTTCAAACAAATGCAATTTCTCCTTACTCTTTAAAGGTAATTAAATTCCTTCTTTCTTAGTCTTTTATTAAGTTAATTCGTTTCCATAAAAACTGTTAGTTCAGTGGAAGAAACAAAGATGTATGAACTTCCTTATTTATGGTTTCTTGACTTGCAATATTAATATTCTCTGCTATTACTACAAGTACTTTAAGCAGTCGGGTTTCGTTAAAGTTATCTGTATATTTACTCAGTTGTCCTGTTGAGGCTTTCCTCAAAATAAATCTGCAATGAGATTATGTTTTATTTGCAATGAATTGAAAATGAGACTTTTTGCAATCTATAATATTTTTAAACTACTTATGGAAGTCTATCGATCTCAGAAGGCAACTGCAAAAGAACTTTCAAGACTTTTGTCTTTCTAAAGTTTCAAGTTTATCATGATTTGATAGGATTGGAATGAACATCTTCAAATTCTACATACAATTGATTTTTAAAATGAATTCCATAATCTAAATGATAAGGACAATTTAAAATGTATTTAATCTAAACTATTTTTGTGAAATTTATTTGTCTCACAGACAGAACAAACAGTGTAACTTACTATTGTAATTCTCTTTCTCCATGTATTTGTCAAATTGAACTTTTATTTTTTGTATTCAGTCTTTTTTGGTTCTTTTCTTCTGTGCCATCATATTTATTTAAGAAATCCTTCAATTTAAGCTGTAAATTGCCTATTTGGTTCTTTTCCTTTTCTCATATTCTTTTTCACATTGAAAGAGGTGGGGAAGAGAGTTGGGAGGTAGGTGCTAAATAACTTTCTAAAGTCGTATTTAGTTCTGTTGACCTGCTTCTGACTTGGTTCTTTTGGCACTCAAAATTTTGGTAGCTGATGGGAATTCGACACTTGATTCAGGACCTAAAGGCCATATACAACTTGGCAGTTTTGGATGAAGTTTTGTTTGTTATTTTGCTACCAGTGCTATGCCATACTATCTTGCAATGAAACATATGAACAACCAACCTGTTTATATCAGTCTGTTCTCTTCCTATCTGGTTGGATTACATTTTCTGATTCACGTAGTTATTCTAAAATAAGTCTCAACATTCAAATGTTAGAGATTTATATAGTTATTATGAAATAAGTTTTTCACATTCAATTGTTAGAGATAATAAGATTTCGGATTTTCTTGGTAAATGGCAAGGAGAAATCAGAAAGTTTGAAGTCAACATCAGAACAAGCTTCAACCAAGAGTTATGATGATTGTCTTCCAGACTGTGGAAGGGCACGGGCATTGTACCTTACATTTACAAGTACAATGAGCGAAGAAATTCTGAAATCATGCTTTCCTAGTGACCGCAGAGATGAGAATCTTCTTTATCGGTTTGTAGCTTCCCCTTTCCATTTCGTGTCATGAGCTATCTTCCAGCACCTTAGGCTGCCGAACACTGTTGAAACTTTTGGTATCATCTGTAATTTTCTTGTGATATTTTAGTTGGTTGTGCACAGATGTCACTTTTACATCTCAGTATCCTGCTTGTGCTTTCACTATCAGTCATCATGTGCTCAATCCCTTTCAGGACTATGTACAGATGTCACTTTTACATGTCAGTATCCTGCTTGTGCTTTCACTATCAGTCATCATGTGCTCAATCCCTTTCAGGACTATGTACTTGGAATTTATTATTTAACTAGCACCTGCTTTTTCTTTTGCTCCGTAGGTCTTCTCTTCACGGGAGGCGTTTGAACAGATTCTGGTCTAATATTGAAGGTTATCATGCCCCATTGGGTACTTTAGTTTCTGCCAGTTCTGCTGATGTCCATGAGAATAGTACCACAGAGAGGAATGGATGATAGGTGTACTTATTCATCAGGGTCTTGAAAGCAAGGCAATTTCAAATTTCTAGATGTCAGTAACTTGAATCTTTGTGAAACTGATTAATGTTAGCATTGTCAGGGAAGGAGATAAATTGTGTACGGCCATTTGCATCCTGCTGTTAGAGTTTACGAGCCACATCCACGACCTGTTGGAATTGCATTTCGAAGAAAAATTAAATAGTATTTGAGCATTGTCTTGTTCTTAATGCAATGATTTTGGACTAATTTGATCTTGGATCTCATAATGCGTTGCAAAAATTGTCTTTTTAGTTTGAATTATCATAATTTATTAATTAAAAATTTTATAAAACAAAAATTTAAAATAAATCAAATTACATTTGTTAAATTTGTAAACTCATCTATACTATTATAACCCCTAATAATTTTTTGTAAGTAATTTTTTCTTACACTTTGAGTTTTTCTATTTCTTTTTTTTTTTTTTCCAAATCCATTTGAATCATTCAAATAAATGACAAGGGAAGATTGGTGTTCTACTTCTGGCCTGCTCAGAAGAGAGGCTCAAGTTCAACTCTTAAGTCGACAAGCAAAAAAAAATCTAGTTAGCTGCCAAAACAAGCTGTTCCTCACGTAGTTCAACTGAGAAATTATTGTTGAAACACAAAATCTGAAACCAAATTAAAGATCCAAAGATATGGGAATTCTTTCCACAACAGAGGATTACAACAGACTTGTATGGGTTGGTATTTCCATACGCTATACACACAACAAAGCAGTAGTAATCAGCTGTCCTGCAGTTAATTGACGAGACATAAGGATCAACAGACAGGTGTTTCTGGATATGTTTGCACAAACAAACCCAGGATGTTTATATACTACTACAATACATTGGCACTTTGCTCAAACATATAGATCTTTCACCAGAATTCTTGATACCTGTAACAAACATACCAAAACAAACAGAAAGGACCGAGAGAAAAATAATGCAAACTAGTAACTTGTAGTTTTATATATCCTCAGTGTAATTCGTTTGTATCTAGCGGTCTTCTCGTTGAACGCTGTTGGGATCAGACATCATGTCCATCATCATTTTCTCAGGTGAATCTTCCCAATTTGCAAATGTTTTCAGGTCAACCTGCGAAAGAGGTAACAAACATACATTTTAAGGCACCTGCAACTAATGCACGTAAATCTTCAAGACCATTCTAGATACTTTAAACCCGATCTTGATATGTTACCTTGCGTCTTTGCTCAGTGAAAAGTTCTTCTCTCTTCTTATAAGAATTTTGGACCTCCCTTGCTCTCCTGCCGCCTAATCCCCAAACTTCCACCTCTGAAATCCGAGACTCAACTGGGAGAAAGCCCTGTGTCAATTCATATTTACAATTCAACTCTTGATAGAATTCCAATGATGTGCAGCCTAAGAGATATACCCTACAATGGCTGTGAATTCAACCTCTATAGTGTATCCACTTCTTTTTACTTAAACCATCTGACACCACAAATACATAAAAGAATGACTTAAAACAAACTAAATTTAATTGCATGCATAACAACTTCAAGGCCAACAAAGCATCCAAAATGTAGAGTGAAAATGTCAGATAAGCTAGGCTTAAAGCCATCAAACCATCGTGATCCAGGGAGCAGGGAGAGATGACGATATTAGTTTCAAACAAAGAGTATTCACTTACCAGATGCCCTCATTTAAAATATCTACCTAAAATGAAGAAAAAATTTCAATCTTAATTTGTTGAACATATAATTTGACAAACCTGGTTTGGGGCAAGGGAACCAGGTTTGTAAGTTTTGTCAATGGCATGATGACGAACTACAACTCGATCAAAATCTTCATCAATAAAAATTCTTTCATTCCCAATTGTTCCTCCAAATGCAATTCCAACAGGTTTTGGATGTGGCTCGTAAACTCTACCAGTAGGATGCAAATGGCTGTACACAAAATTTTTCTCCTTCCCTGGCAATGCTAACATTAATCAGTTTCACAAAGATCAAGTTACTGACATCTAGAAATTTGAAATTGGCTTATCTATCTCAGAAAAGATATTATTATAAATCTAAAATTGATTCCTCTCTGCCTTCACTCTTCAAATTATGTACCTGTAGGGGGGAACACATGAAACACTGGACTTATAGCATACAAGTTTCCTGAGCTTCCATAGAATACATCCTTGCTTTCAAGACCCTGATGAATAAGTACACCTATCATCCATTTCCTCTCTGTGGTACTATTCTCATGGATATCAGCAGAACTGGCAGAAACTAAAATAAACAATGGAGCATGATAACCTTCAATATTAGACCAGAATCTGTTCAAACCCCTCCCGTGAAGAGAAGACCTAAGGAGCAAAAGAAAAAGCAGGTGCTAGTTAAATAATAAATTCCAGGTACGTAGTCCTGAAAGGGATTGAGCACATGATGACTGATAGTGAAAGCACAAGCAGGATACTGAGATGTAAAAGTGACATCTGTGCACAACCAACTGAAATATCACAAGAAAATTATAGATAATACCAAAAGTTTCAACAGTGTTCGGCAGCTTAAGGTGCTGGTAGATAGCTCATGACACGAAATGGAAAGGGGAAGCTACAAACCGATAAAGAAGATTCTCATCTCTGCCACCATCATCACTAGGAAAGCATGATTTCAGAATTTCTTCACTCATTGTACTTGTAAATGTAAGGGAAACTGCCCATGCCCTTCCACAGTCTAGAAGACAATCATCATAAGTCTTGGTTAAAGTTTGTCCTAATGTTGACTTCAAACTTTCTGATTTCTCCTGCCATTTACCAAGAAAATCAGAAATCTTATTATCTCGAACAATTGAATGTTGAAAACTTATTTTATAATGACCATATAAATCTCTAACATTTGAATGTTGTATTTTAGAATAATCGTATGAATTAGAAAATGTAATCCAACCAGATAGGAAGAGAACAGACTGATATAAACAGATTACTTGTTCATATGTTCCATTGCAAGATAGTGTGACAAAAACTTAACATACAGAAGAAATGAGTAGCATTGGCAGCAAAATGACAAACAATACTTCATAAAAACTGCCATGTTGTATATGGCCTTTAGTTCCTGAATCAAGTGGTGGATTCCCACAGCTACCAAAAAATTTTAATGCCAAAAGAACAAAGTCAGAAACAGGTCAGCAGAACAAATACAACTTAGAAGATTATTTAGCACCTACCTCCCAACCTCCCTCCTCTCTTTCATTGTGAAAACGAATATAAGAAAAAGAAAAAGACACCCTAAACATGACAAAGCAAAGAACCTTTTCTTGAAGAAACTAAAGTTGAGAAGCACCACAACAGAGAAAGAACTTGAAAAGAGACACCTAATTTCCAGTTAGGTTCTCAAATCATGACGAAATCTTTAACCAAAATTTCTCTATGCCACACAGCAAACTTATGCAAGCTGAAATTGTTTTGCATTTTGAGTATTTTCAATTCATGAAGACAACTTTTACAGTTAAACTCATTTGGCACAGAATTTAAACACATTACCTTCACGGTAGAACAGTTCTCCAGTCTTGCGTGGAAAAATTGTATAAAGCAATCTGTAATGGCAGGCACCGTAGTGAAGGCCCATGTAAGAAAGTTCCCTATGGGAAGTTCAATTTCTAAGCCAGAGATATCCCACTCCCATAAATTCAGGTCACTGCCAACTTCAGCACAGGACAAAACAGCAGATAATACCAAATGGCCAAGATCTGGCAGATAAAGATTCTGTTGCTCCTTCAAAGATTTTGCTCTTGAATCCCAAGACATGGTCCAACACATACAAAGAAGCATAAGCACATCAGCAGGTTTAAGAAACCCATTAATTTTGCAATCAGCTTCATCAGATTCAAACTCCAGTTTTAAGGGAAGTCCGGCTTTTCTAGCTGTCACAGCAAACAATCTCAACAACCTATTAAACGACATTGAAGCTGACAATCTTCCGCAGCACTTCACATAACCCTTCACAAAATTGACCCAACTTACGTCTTCCTTTTCGGGTATGAAATATAAGTCTACCATTGATGACCCCAGATGATCCAACAACGCAGAAAAGGAATCAGACATCCTTGCCACAGGTGCTTCACAACTAGGCACTTTATAGCTTAAATTGAAGAATTTCTGAAATAATTATGATTGCACAGAAGGAAAGAACCAGAAAAAAGAACTGAATATCAAAAACAGAAGAAGTTCAATTTGACAAATACATGGAGAAAGAGAATTACAATATTAAGTTACACTGTCTGTGGAACAAATAAATTTCACAAAAATAGTAATAGCAGAGAATATTAATATTGCAAATCAAGAAGCCATAAACAAGAAAGTTCGTACATCTTCGTTTCTTCCACTGAATTAACAGTTTTCATGGAAGCGACATAACTTTTGATTAAATATTAAGAAAGAAGCAACTTAATTACCTTTAAAGATTGAGGAGAAATTGCATTTGTTTGAACATCAGGAAGGCATGAAAATGATTTTTGAAGCATAGGCAGAGCTCCGGTGGAGGCAGCCATGGTTTCCACCTCCCGCTGCTCGGCGGAGACCGCCTTCTCCTCTGTTGAAGAAGATGTTCCCATTATCCGTGTTCTCAGAAGAAAACAATCGAGTTTTCCAACTGAAACTTTAGAATCTTTTCCTCTCTCCGTTTGGATATCGGAAAAACGGATGAGAAGATTAAATCGAAGAGGTTTAATCAAGTATAATAATATTAGAACTCACTGCTTCCTTGGTATATATATATATATATATATACTTAAAACTCCCCGTATAAGCATCAACAACGTTAGCAATTTTTTATTTCCAAAATGCATTAAATACTAAAATTTTCACAAAAGTCAAAATTAATCTTTATATTTTAATTTTAATGAATAAATCTTGAATTTAAAAATTAAAATATTTTTAGATAAACTGATAGCCGATCACAGAACCAAAAAAAAAGTATATTTGTTTACTTATTAGTTTTAAATTTAATATTTCAATAATATTGTAAATAATTCACTTCTAAATTTTTATTAAATGATATTAGAAACTATTGGTTTTTTGTTGCTTTGCATTTATTTATTGAAAAGTTTGATCCCATAAAATAATTCAAAGATAATCTTAATGATGGTGATTAGTTGTATTTTTTAAGATTATTTGGATTTCAGTTAAAGTTTTTAAATATTTTATTTTTTTTATTTTATAAAATTTAATATTTAATTAATTAATTTCAAATATAAATATTTTTAAATGCAAATATATTATACAATAAACATAGACAAAATAAAAATCAAAACTGACTCTCTAATATAAAAAAGATAATATATAATTATTTAACTAATATTGTAGTTAAAATGTAAATTGTATAGGCCCGGAATCTTAAAGAAAAATGAATTTATAATTTAAATACGAAAACGAATAATAGAATTAGGGTTTACATTCATTACACAATAGTTTAAAATATTCAATAGGATTATAGGAATGTTCATTCTAAAAGACGAACAGTAATTAAAAAAAAAACGAATAATAAATATATTAGGACAACCTTCACTAATACTTGAAGATAATGCAAGTGGTGAATTACTCACAACTCTCTTACTGATCAGTATCTGGATTTTAGTCTTTATGCTCTGAAATAGTTAATGAAAATGTGCTACACTAACCCAGTAAAAATAACATTAATCATATATATAGAAAACTGAAAACTAATTAAAAATCAGAAAAATAACTAATAGAACCCTTAATTTAATGTAAATTTATTTAATATAAAGAAAATCATTTACTCCATACTTACGTAACGAGTTTTTCCAAAAATAACCTATGGTGACTCATTTTCTTACCTCTTTTTATTTTCACCCATATGATAACAATAGACGAAAATCTTCATTTTTTACATCCTTACTGGCACCCTCGGGGGTCCATAGGTATGTCCACTTACTCGTGAATCCAATATCTAATTTAAACAATTAACTAGTCGTTCTCATACCCCGTCTAGTAATGGACGCCAAATATTTTATCACCTCGATACTCCATCCGATATGAGGGTGAACCATGTTTCCCAAACTTTTCCAGTAAGAAACTTCCCAGCCCCGTTCAACTGAGGTAACGTTCACAGTAAGGTTTCTATGTACTGACCCTATCCGCCTTTTCCCTGGGTACCCAACAAGTCTTTCACATAGAGATTTCCATCAACAAGACAACCAACCACGCAAGCCATTATTTCATATTTCATTTACAGATCCATTAAATTATATTTATGCTGATAGTATATAACTGAATAAACCAGATAAATCGATAAGGCTATAGAAAATATAAATTTAGAATATGCACTGTATAATAACAAGCAAGTAGAGCAGTACAATAACATAAACAGAAAATCGAAACAACCGTGAACTAACTAGTTCCGGCTCCACTAGTGACCTATAATTATTTTTACGATTCTTTAATTTTTTATAAAAATACAAAATTATACAATGTTAAGTCTCAATTTACCGTAACGATGAATAGGGTGAGGGATTCTTATCCGGATCGATGTTTTGGAAGGTCAAACTATTTGCTATACCTCCTAACGGGTATTGGGTTTTCTGAATTTTTCCTTCAGAATCCAAAACACTTGTCACGTACCTAAAAATCCTCAAAAAATCCAAAATCAGTGCTCAAAACTCTTTCTGACTGATTTTGGAGTTCCAACACTACGGTGCCATCGAGCTCCAACGTGGGCTCTACCGCCCACAGCGACAGTTTGCCTCGGCCTGACTGGTTTTGACCGTTTTTTATCGATTTTGACCGGTTTTAAACGTACCCCTACATAAAAACATGTTAGTGGCCTCAGTTGGCCAGAAAATTACCAAAAATACCGAACCTATTGGGG